TATCTCTATCTCTATCTCTATCTCTATCTCTATCTCTATCTCTATCTATCTATCTATCTATCTATCTATCTATCTATTTAAATAAGAAAATAAAAACTGTATTTTCTTTTCTATTTTTCTTTGACTTCTTTCTTTAATTGTTCTTTTCTTTGATTTTTTTTCTTTTTCTTTTTTCTCTTCCTTACTTTCTATTAGTTTGTCTTAAATTATATACAAAAATTTGCCCCAAAGGTCACATTCAATTTATTCTGTTATTGCTGGTAAGAATGAAAAAAAATGCTAGGATTAGAGATGAGTGAAACAAATATTTTTCTTTGTTCACATTTATCTTTAAAGTGATTTGCCGAAATTACCGTATATACTTGAGTATAAGTCGACCTGAATATAAGCCGAGGCACCTAATTTTACCACAAAAAACTGGGAAAACTTATTGACTCGAGTATAAGCCTAGGGTGGGAAATGCAGCAGCTACCGGTAAATTTCAAAAATAAAAATAGATACCAATAAAAATTTTCATAGGACAGTTGAGAATAAGTTTGATGTTCACAATTTCCTCTTTGAAAGAGACCAGTAAATAGGGACAAGAAGATGAAGAAAAAGAAGTGTGTTTTTTCACACTTTTCACACTGCAGTGAACAAAAATGGCATCATAGGAACAGGCTTATTCTCAGTCCAAAGGTTTGTTTCTGATTTCTTCCCTGATTTAAGGGAAATTTGGGAAACGATCTCACTATCATGAAAGGTTTAATTGATTCACTAACCCAAAAGAAAAAGATAACGATGACAGTGGGAGGCAGGAGTCACTCTCTCCCTTGCGAGAAAAAAGCAAGAGCCGTTCTTATGATCTCTCTCTCTCTCTCCCTCCCCAGAATACAGTCAAGCCCTTTCCAGTACGCGCGATCCGCTGCCGCCGCTTTGCACCCTGCAAATGCAAAATCCCGGGGTTTTTGCATTTGCAAGGTGCAAAGTGGCAGGGGCGGATTGCGCATACTGGAAAGGGCTTGACTATATTCTGGGGAGAGAGAGAGAGAGAGATCATAAGAATGGCTCTTGCTTTTTTCTCGCAAGGGCCGGGCACTGGGGGCTTGCAAGGGAGAGAGTGACTCCTGCCTCCCACTGTCATCATCATCTTCTTCTTTTGGGTGAGTGAATCAATTAATTTGTGAAACGATCTCACTATCATGAAAGTCAGTGTTCTCTGCCCATGGGGCGTTTGGAAGAAAACGCCCCACGGCATATCCACGCGCATGTAAGGGGAATCAGAAATCCCCACGTTCAACGCCTAGCATGGCAGAAGAGAAAATGCAGCTGTGAGCAAATACTGGGAAAACCTGATTGATCAGAAGGAAGGAGGCAAAAGAGGGAGGGGTGGTGGTGGATGGAGGTCCCACTGGTATTTGTGAAATACTCAGTCGACAGCGCTTAAAGTCAACATCCTCGCTCCCACCCACCCACCCACCCAAAGCCACGAAGTCCCCCAATCGCGCAGCCCAGAATCGCCCACCCCTCAAGGGGCAGCAAAGACGCCCAGTGTTTCCCGAGACAAAGCTCCGCTGTGCAATGAAAGCACCCTGGCTCTAGGCTCACGGGCTCAGAAAACAATGTGAGCCAAGGTGGCTTTGTTTCCTCAGCCCCAGCTGCTTTCAGTCTGCTCGGGAGGAGGGGAAGCCACCTCAGCTTGTGTTGTTTTCTGAGCCCGCGAGCCTAGAGACTAGAGCTCAGAAAACAACGCGAGCCGCTGCCACCACCTCCTCCTCCTCCTCCTCCCGAGCAGACTGAAAGCAGCTGGGGCTGAGAAAACGAAGCCGAGTGGAGCCGAAGCCATGCCTAGAGCTCAGAAAACTACGCGAGCTGCCGCCACCACCTCCTCCTCCCCCCGAGCGGACTGAAAGAAGCTGGGGCTGAGGAAACGAAGCCACCTCGGCTCGCGTTGTTTTCTGAGCCCGCGAGCCTAGAGCCAGGGCACTTTCATTGCACGGCAGAGCTTCTTGTCTCAGGAAATACCGGTACTCATTGCTGCCCCCTGAGGGGAGGGCGATTCTGGGCTGCGCGATTGGGGGACTTCGTGGCTTTGGGTGGGTGGGTGGGTGGGAGCGAGGATGGATGGAGTCCGCGAAGTGGGGCTTACCTGCCCTTGCTGGCTGCCTCTGCTTCCTTAGGGGCGGGGAAGGGGGCTCATCTGGACCAAGGGTGAGTCTCCCCCTCAGTTTCCCCTGAAGGATCTTCCGTCGCTTTTGCCTTCTCCCTATGTCTTCCCTCTGTTAAAATCCCCCCCCACACACACACACTTATTTTCAGGCGGATAGATTTCGTGTCTGAGTATTCTCACATGACGGTGGGTCTTTTTCCCCCCCTAAAAACAGTTTAAAAAAGAAAAAAACAATATATCTTCATGCAAGAACTTTTCTGCTTCCGATTACCCCCATGCTTACAAGTTGCAAAGGAAACACGGAAGTAGGGAAGCGGCTGCCCAGCTCCGGAGCTCAACACCATTTTTTTTTCAGAGGGAATCTCACTCGAGTATAAGCCGAGGGGCTTTTTTTCAGCACAAAAAGTGTGCTGAAAAACTCAGCTTATACTCGAGTATATACGGTACTAATAGGAAAGAGGAAATTATGTCAAGGCACCATTGAACTTGGGAGCACTGTTGATCTAGTGGATGATAGGAGATGAAAGCATGGAAATAGGCAAATAAACTTGAGGATTCAAGTATACAATGTAAATCTAGAAGAGAAATACATTCTTAAATTCTGGACAAAATTATGCACGTGATTTGCAGTGGGTGCTTTTAAGATTAAATGTTTCGTTTATATATATACATGTGTGTGTGTTTGCAAGAGAGGAAAAATAAAAACAGAAAAGACAGAGAAAAGATACAAAGAAGAAACTTCCAATCTTCTTTCAAGCAATTATTAATTCAATTTAAATTTACTTTTTACTCTGTGGTTACAAGGCAGCTCTCTTCTTTCTATAATCTGTTCTGTCTAATCATCAAAACCATAAAGCATACATTCATTTTTAGTTTTTCATGCAAAAATATCGCTGGGATTTTCAGTAAGCAATAAATGTAGATACTATCTTTTCTCTTATCAAAACAGTCAATTTAGCATTCTCAGCAAATTCCATCATCTTAAGCAACCATTCGTCTTTTCTGGATAGTGCTGAATCTTTCCATCTTTCTGCATACAATAAATCCTGCTACAATTACCATGTACAAAAGTGCAATTCCTTAATGTTTTTCCAATTGTTTGTCGATTGATTCCAAAAGAAAAAATTCTGGTTTGTGCAGTAATCTTTAAAATCCTATGAATCAGTGTGGGTATTTGAATCCAGATTTATTATACATTTACCAAACCTGATAAAATGTCCTTTCTTGTTGTTCACATTTCCAATATAAAATTGAAATGCCTTTATTCAAACGTTTCTCACTTTTGAGACTTAGCCCATGCAATTTCTGAATGAGTGTTGATGCTCAGGAACATAAGTAATTAGCATGAAGTTTTTCAATCAATTAGAAGCTAAGAAAATAAATTAGGGTCAAACACCTTTAAAAATGATTACAGATGGTTGCATTATACCCAAGCTTAAACAATGAAATATATGTTTGATTAATTTGCTCCATTGGTTTCAGTGGGAGTTTCTCATGAGACCTTTAACAGGTTCAGATTTTCATTACCTGAACTGAGAGTACAAACAAACAAGTAATCTTGAGTTTTCTCATTGGATTACAGGCAGTTTTAAATTTCAGGATTGAATTTCACCAGTAATGTAATTCTTTCCTGTCTCATTTATACACTCCTAAAATCAGTTGGAAGAATAACATTGCTCTTCCAATTGGATGTAGTTGTAATCAGGGTAATAAAAAGTATATTGGCACTTTTAATGATCAATTTGTCACTAATATCATTTTATGATATAACAATATAAACATTGAATTGTTTCATGTTAGATTTCACAGAGAGAGAAAAAACTGAAATGAAGACTACATTTAGACTTTCAGGATCTAAAATGCCTTTTTATTCACCGAATGAACATCGGAAAATGTACAAAGAGAGAGAGAGATTTTTTTTTGATACTGCTCATGATATGCGTAACATCACACATCCTGTACCACCAACTTTGCCAATATATGAACCTGGCAGCATTGAAAAGAGAGTCTTTGCTAAAGCATATGGAACTGTAAGACTTCATCCTTTATATGCCATTGAACAAGCATATTGGCAAAGTCAGAAGTTGGACCAGCAAGCTAAGAAGGAGCGAGACGTGATGCGGCGGTTGATTGCTAAAAGTGAAGCTAAAGAATACATGCATCATTTACAAGAAGAAAAAATAGACAATATTCAGAGGAACTACGAAAGGAAAAAGATGATGGATACAGATCATGTTAAAAAGTCCAAAGAGGGAAAATACAAGTTCATTGTTAGGATGAGAAAAAAGTATAATAAGTTTTTAGAAAAGAAGGAAGGAAAGCTAATAGAAAACTCATTCATTCAGCGCTTTAGCACTCAACATACTTCTTTGACTAGAGGTTTATTAAAACTTGATGGGTGGAGAAAAAATGTGGAAATCCACAATGAAAGAAAAAAAGTCCTTAAAGAAATTAGACAAGAACAAAAAGAACGAAAAGAGGTGTATGAACATTTTCAGGAGGAGAGGTATGTGTGTTTGAGTAAGCTTATATATTTAAGCTATATGTAATATAATTATATAATTATATAAATAAATATACACACACACACACACACACAGTATTTTACACACACACACACACACATATATAAACTTAAGAAAACAAATATATATATATATATATATATTTCTTAAGTTTCGCGGGTATTTATATGTATGGTATGCAGCTTTGCTCGGGTATTTTCCCACGTCATTATAGTTGTGCTTTTAAAGTTGTAGCAACGTTTCGGCAGAATCTCATCTGCCATCATCAGGCTTCTGTATTGTGTT